GACAATTGGAGGAAAACCAATGCTGGAGACAAGATATGTCATTCCTGTGGCTAGATGGTTGCACGACAAAACCCCTGGGGGAGCGGAGGCGATGGCTAATCAGGTACAGGAAGGATGGACAGCACCAGGAATTCATACCGCTGCCAAAAGGATCAAGAGCAGTTGCCCAACGTGTGAAGTTCTCCAGCCCCAGGCTGAGCTCAGAGTCAGGGGGGTGACCGTGGGCCCACCCCCCTTTCCCATCACCGCAGGTACACGGTGCAGATGTGCCCACTGTGCGCGGACATGAACGTCTGCTCGTAACAGTAGACCAACTGTCAGGCTGGGTGGAAACCTTCCTGACAAGAAAAGCCGACACAGAGGGAGTAGTAAAAGCTTTATTGAAGGAAATTGTACCAAGATATGGGGCTCCGGAGTCAACTGAGTCAGACAGGGGTGCCCATTTTACAGCAAATATAATTGACCGACTGTACGAATCACTAGGAATTAAAGAAACCTGCGTACCCCTGGTCACCCACAGTCTTCGGGACAAGTAGAAAGGACGAACACAACATTAAAAGAGAAGATAGCAAAAGTATGCACACGCGCTGGTTTAAAACAGCCAGGAGCGTTAAACTTTGTCCTGTGGGATGTTCGAAACGCGCGATGTTCGAACCCGTGTAAGGAACACCGACAGAGGTTCTCTGTGGGAGGCACCTACCTACACCAGGGACTCGCATCCCAGCTAAGAGCAGCCCAGTGGATGGAGACAACCGGCTGACTCAGCACATTTTATATACGCAAAAAGGGTGCGAAGATAAAAGGAAAAACGCGCAACGGTGCCGACCCACACCGCCTGATTGACAGGCGCACGATACACAGCTGGGAGACAAAGTCTTAACTAAAGTATTTTCCCCAAAATCAAAATTGGAGCCCAGAAGTGATGGGCCAAACCCTGTTTTATTGTGTTCTTTTGCTGTCAAAATTTTAGGAAAAAAAAATGGGATACACCATTCTCACAGCAAGCAAGCGGTGGACAGCCAAACCAGCTGGCGGATGACAGATTCCTGAAAATCAACCCAGAATGAAGTGGGATATTTTGCCTCTCCTGGGACTGTTGGCTCTGGTGACTACTACAGCATGGCGAAGTATGAACCTAAAAAGAATGGATGATCCAGAGCGGTGGGAAGGCGATAACAGGTTGCCCAGAGAGGTTGGTGAGGCCCCATCCCTGGAGGTGTTCAAGGCCAGGCTGGACGTGGCCTTGGGCAACCTGGGCTGGTGGGAGGTGTCCCTGCCCAGGGCAGGGGGCTTGGAACTCAATGATCTTCAAGGTCCTTTCCAACCTAAACCATTCTATGATTCTATGATAAATTAAAAAAGAAAAGAATCTACTTAGAGCATACACGATCCGAGTTCCCAATTCTTGAAGAACCTGCAGAAGGAACTCACATTTTTTGATGTGAATCGGATAAGGTGAGTGATCTGACAGTGACAGAGGTAGTCAAAAAATTAGATGCCATTGTTCCAATGATACCAGTTCCTGTTTAGCACTTGACTTCGGGTGTTGCAGTGCAGTTAATGGTGAAGTTGGAAAAGTAAACAACTGTATCTTGCGAAAGAATTGGCTTGATACCAACCCCCGTCCCACTGCCCACCATGATGAATCCCACTTCAACTCCACTAATAAGACAGGAGTTGATCCCACAAACATTTGAAATTGGTCCAAACGCTATCAAACACGTGAGGCAACAACAAGTGATATTTAATCCCTCAGGAAACGGGTAGAACTGACGATACAAATCAACGTTTCTACAGTTCAGCGGACCCGCTCACCGTTCCCGAGCACATCCCACGCGGGTTGGCTGGCACGGTTACGTGAGCAAACCTTTACCACCTCACAGCGAACAAAAAGGGCTGCGAATGGCATCACAGGGACAGGATCGGGAGTCTCGACTAGCATCAACGCTGAAGCGCTTGTAAACAAACTGAGCGCGGCCATAAATAAGATTTCAAGCACTTTGTTCAGCGTATTAGCAGAAATGCTTAATAAAAACAAAGGGAGGGCTGTTGAGTGATTATCAGCTGTTTAGCTTAAATAAGTTTTAGGTAGATTACTTAGGGTTAGAATATGGAGTGATTTTTGCTGTTTGCCTCGCTTTACTTGGCGTGAGTAGCTCACTTTGCTGAAGCCTTTAGGCCTCAATTGAGTTAATTTTCCTAGTAATTTTGTAGAATCATAGAAGGGTTTAGGTTGGAAAGGACCTTGAAGATCATCGAGTTCCAACCCCCCTGCCCTGGGCAGGGACACCTCCCACCAGCCCAGGTTCTCCAAGCCCCGTCCAGCCTGGCCTTGAACACCTCCAGGGATGGGACCTCAACAACCTCTCTGGGCAACCTGTGCCAGTGCCTCAAAGTGAAAAATTTCTTCCTAATGTTTAATTTAAACCTGCCCTCTTCCAGTTTGAAGCCATTCCCCCCTCGTCCTGTCACTCCATGCCCCAGTACAAAGTCCCTCCCCAGCTCTCCTGGAGCCCCTTTAGGGACTGGAAGGCCGCAATAAGGTCTCCCCGGAGCCTTCTCTTCTCCAGGCTGAACCCCCCCAACTCTCCCAG